CCGCAGCGCCTCCGGAAGAGGCGCGCGACCCGGTCCCCGAACCCCCTCTCCCGTGCGACAGGAGAGCCCCCGCCCCCCGCGCCATTGGCTGCGGATTTCTGGCTGAATTCGAACCGGAGTGAGTGGCGCGGGCGGTGCGGCCCGAATAAATCAGTCCCCGGGGGAGACAGGCCGGGCCCCGGAGCCAGCCCCTCTCCTGGCGTGGGGAGGACAGCTGGGGAGCGAGGGCTCACCGAGGAGAGGCCACCCCTGGGGTCTAAATAGTCCCAAGAAAACACGATTTCGTTTCAGATTAGCAAACTCCACAAGAGGAGACAAGCAGAAGGGAAAGAAAATGAAAAAAAGGAAAGTGGGGAGGGGGGGGCTCAGAAAAGAAACCGTGATGGAAACGCACCTATACCAAGACCCTGCCGGTCGACCTGGAAGGCTGCGGGGGGGCTCCCGCGTTTCTCTCTAGTTGGGGGTGTGCTGCTTTTTGCGCTCCCGCTATTCTCTTCTCCGGAGACCCGCCGGGAGCTGGGCACCGCGGCCTGGGCCGGCGGGGAGTCGTTGGGAAGGTGGAGTCCCCAGGGCCCCAGTGGGTGCCTGGGGAAAACTGCAAACCAGAGAGGTCAGGCAACCTGGTTTTCTGTCTGAATAAACGCTACGGGTCAAAGAGGTTTGTTTTATTTTAAAATTAACTGGCAAGAAAAACATTTCACTAACGATTCCTTCCCTTGGTTGGAAAGCAATCCTACAAACAACAACAAAAACAAAAACAATCTGTGACCCATCAAAGGAGCAATGACCTTCCTCCCTCCCCCTCTTCGTTTTAGGCAATGTTAAAAAGAGATTGGGAATCTGGAGGGTAAAATCCATCTTCTCCAGTCCTCAGGCTGGGGTCGGGTCGGTACCACCGCTCACCGCTGCGGTGGAGCTGCGGGAAAGGGCCCTGAGGGTGAGCTCTTGTACAGGGAAATTCACAGACACCCGGGTACTTGCAAATAATAATAATAATAATAATAATAATACGCACAGCAGGAACCATGGTCTTACAGAGCTGGGTCTCCTGGGGCACAGGCTCGGAGACCTGGACTCTTAAGTAGCCAAAATATTTATTTGCTAACCGGTCTTCATTAAAAATTAGCTCACCAAAATGTGAAATTAAAAAAAAAAATTAAAACACTTTGGTTTTAAGAGCAAACATGAGAAACACTTAAAACCAGTGGAACTCAAAGGAATTCAAACGTCCACCACGTTCCTGTAACTGCTTATAAAAGGAACTTCTGCAAAATTCAGTCTTATTTAAGAACTTGGTCGGGGCCTCACATAAAACCCAAAAGAAGACATTGGAAGCCCGGGCCTGAGTTAAGTACAAGGCGGCCGCCCGGCTATCGCTTCTGGTAGTCGCATTCGATCGAACACCGGTTAAACTTTAAAGCCCCCGGAGCCTGCTCCTGCCACCAGTCTCCTTCCAGAGTTTTCTACCTTCGGTGGACACGCGGTCCTAATGGACGCTGGGAGCCGAGACTGGGGGAGGCAGAGAGGAATGTTTTATAAAAGTGACTAAATCAGATGAGAACGGTTTATGCGCCTTCTCAGCAGCAATTTAAAATTCAGAAGTGTTTAGCAGCCATTTACAACGAAGAATGAAAGGGAGGTAAATGATCACCAACTTCCTGAATTCAGATACCTCCGCCCCAGCGCCGCCAGGCCCGGTCCCCTGCTCCCCCGGACAGGACACAGGTTCCCAGCCCACAGTTACACGGAGACGGAATCCTACACGTAGCGGCCAAGTCCCACAACCTTTGGAAACCATATTTTACAACGTCCCTGCCTACCCTCCTTTAACTACTTTAAGCTCCTCTCCCTCCCCCCAACTGAAATACATTAAAAACAAACAAACAAAAACAGAACCCAAACGCCTTCAGAGGAGACTGACCTTTAGAAAATCATTTACTTCGATTTACCTGGGGGGGGGGGGGGAGCGTCAAGATCCATTCCCACACAACTCTTCCTGCCCCGGGCAAAACTCTCACGAGCCTGCTGGGGTCACGCCTGTCGGAAGAAATCCTTCTTGTGAGCGAAAGGGAGCGAGACGGGGTATCAGAGCTCCTGCCGGGGCCGAACCCGCGGCCGCGCGACTCGCAGATGACAGATCGGCGCTGATAACCCCGCGCCGTCTAGTTCCAGTCCCCGGGCCGGCCGCGGACCGTATCAGTTTGTACACAGTGGTGATAACCACGCCGAGGGAGCGGAGAAGGGGTGTGTATGTGGGGGTGGCTGGGAAGCGATCTGTCGCGCTGGGTGCAGAGAAGGTGACCCCCCCTCTTTCCAACGACATACCTGAAACTTACCTGAAGTTTTCCAGGGAAACCTCAGGGCCAAGGGGACACCCCAAACTCGAAAAGCATTTGCGTGCGCCACAGGCGCAACTGGCGTGGAAGCCTTTTCCCACCCTGTGCACCTCATTGACTAACTAACGTGAGTACACCACGACCCCAACGAAAGGTCCCAAGGGCTAGTGGAGTGCCGACGTGAACATCCCGAGACTTCCTAAGAATGTAATGTATTTCTAAAAATCAGAGCACAGATGGGGAGCTGGGCACCCGTGTTCCTTCTTCCCCACATCAAGGAAGCCTCCACCCCGAGGGCCACCACGACCCTGTGAACTCCGGGGTCTAGAGGAGAGAGGTCGGTCGGTCGGGGGAAAGTTTAAGGTCGATCACACGCGAATGTAGAGCAAGCAGCTCCTCTGACGTGGAGGGAGGATCGGGGAAGGCCAGCGGAGCAAACTTCCCCCTCCCCCTCCCTCTCCTCTCCCCCTCCCCCTCACTCTGGGGGCGCCCTGACCCGGGAGCTGGCGCCTCCCTCCCACGGCGGTGGCAGCGCGGAGCTGCGCGCAGCCGGTCCCTCCGGTGCCAGTACCCCCCTGCCCCGTGAGTGCGCGCGTAACGAGGGGCGGGGGAAAGCGCTCCGCCTAGGGAAGGTTGGCTGTGGGTCGCCTGCCGCCGGGTCTGGAGTTGGGCCACGTCCACCCTTCCCCCGGCGGCGGCCCCGGGCTCGGCGCCCCCTGGATGCACTCGCCCCCACTCCCAGGACCGTGCAGCTCGCTGAGCTCACACCCGCGGGCTGCGTAGCGCTCATTGTCTGCCGGGGCGGCGCGCTCCCCTCCCCCCGCCGGCCCCTATCCCCTCCCCACCCTCCTTTTTCCCCTCCCCTTGTCCCCTCCCTCCCTCCTCCTCTCCTCCTATTCACCTCCAGCGCCCAGCTGCTCGCAGAGCGCAGTTCCGACCCGCAGCCTGGCACCCTTCGGCGCGCGCTGTTTGTTTAGGGCTCGGGAGTCCAATCAGGAGCGCGGGCTGCAGTTTCCCGGCGCAGCGGTAAGAGGCGCCTCCTCTCTCCTTCTTATTCCCGGGCCGCGCCGCGCCGCGCACACCCCGGACTCGCGCTCGCCGGTCGGCGCCCTCGGCCTCTCTCTCCGCGCTCGCTCGGGAGCACCCTCCGCCGCGGCCATTCTCCATGCTGCTCCGCTCCCACCCGAGGTTCGGCTACTTTTCTTTTCTTTTACTTTTTTTTTCCTGCTCGTGTTCTGCTCTCCCCTTCCCTCTCCCTCCCTCCCCGTCGTGGGCCACCGCGGCTTGGCGGCCCGCGGGCGGCGGTTCAGGGGGTGTCCCTCTCCCCTCCCGGCCGTAGCGGCTCCCAGGCTCCCGGGAAACCGCGTACCCACTTCTGAGGTCTCTTCCTCTCTCTCCCCCCAAGCGCTTATCTGCGCGCGGCCTTATCTCCGGGTTATCTCGGCGCGAAGGGGCGGGAGCCCCGGTCGGGCGGGCGGAGAGACTCCTTTCTGGCTCTCCCGCCCGGGTCTGGCTCTGGGTGAGCGCGCACTGTAACTTGGCTATGTCCGATGCGCCCGAGCGCTTTGGCGAGGCGGCCCGGAGTGGGCCTGCCCGGGCTGCCTTAGTCTCCCTCCACCCTCCCTCCTACCCCCCGTGTCTCCCTGTCATTCTTCCTGCTCTCTCTCTCTCTCTCTCTCTCTCTCTCTCTCTCTCTCTCTCTCTCTCTCTCTCTCTCTCTTCTTCGGGATGTCTTCGTCTCTGGGGAGGCCACACGCCCCTCTCCTCTGCTCTGAACTCCGATCCACCCCGGGACGTCCTATTCGGGGGTGGGGGGAGAGGGAGAACGGTCTCTGGCCTTTCTCTCCGCGCCGGGGAAGGAGACCGTGGGCGGGTGGCCCGGCGGGGAACGCGAGCCGCGTGTAAGGTGTGTGCGGTGCGGGGCCGCCTCGGGCACGCTGGCTGGGCGTGAGCCTCGGGCCCTCGGGCGTCCCCGCACTGCCTCGTGCCGGGAAGATCCGAGACTGCCTGCCTGCCGTCCCGCCCCAGGCCCCACCTTCTCAGGGCTGAGTGCATTTTTTTTTTCTTCTCTGGGGCTTTTGCGTTCCGTCTAAGTCCGCGCAGTCCGGGGAGCTCTGGGGAGGAAAGCCGCTGCGCGAGGACGCGGCGGTTTCGTTTTCGGAACAGGTTGCCATCCGTGCGCTAGTGACTTTCGAGCTGGGGCAGGCTTCCCACGGAGGCATTCCGGGCGAAGGGCGCCCGCAGGGAGGCGGGGTAAGGCCGCCCCTTAAAAGTGATTTCTGTGTGTGGACGGCCGGGAGGGAGTCCCTGTGGGGAGAGGTGACGCTTGGCCAGTCACCCCGGGGATCAGGCGCGAGCGCGCGCGGATGCAGGATGCTGCGGGGAGGGTGAGCGGGGAGGGTGAGGGGACCTGGGAGGGCGCTTGGTACCGATCTTGGAAGGATTGGTGGCGGCTGCTCAGGCCACAGTCCCCTCTCATTTACCAACTCTCACGCCCAGGGTCAGAAAAGAGGTCTTTTGGAGAATCTCATTAGTTAGGAAAGGGAGTGGGAGTGAGATGTCGGACAGACAGCCTGCGCCTCTGGGAACCCTTTTTTAATTCTCCTCCTGTCTCTGTCCGCCGCAGAAGCTAGAAGTCGGCGTGCAGCGGCCGCAGGACCGTGGATGGCCTTGACTGACAGCGGCTGGTGCCTGTCGAAGCGCTTGGAGGCCTCGGCTGCGGATTGCGACTCCGGAGCCTTTCCCTTGCGGGAGCCCTCCACGCCGCCTTCCCCCATCTCCTCCTCTTCCTCCTCCTGCTGCTCCCGGGGCCTCGGCAACTGCAGGACGCCGCAGCTCCTCGACACGGAGGCGGCGGCGGCAGGACCCCCGGCCCGGTCGCTGCTGCTCAGCCCTTACGCCTCGCACCCCTTCGGCGGGACTCCCCACGGACCTCCGGCGGCGCCCGGGGTGCCCGGCCCAGGGAGCGCCCTGCCCAACTGGGAGGACCTCCTGCTCTTCGCTGACCTCGATCAGGCCGCCACTGCCAGCAAGCTGCTGTGGTCCAGCCGCGGCGCCAAGCTGAGTCCCTTCGCGCCCGAGCAGCCCGAGGAGATGTACCAGACCCTCGCCGCGCTCTCCGGCCAGGGCCCGGCCGCCTACGACGGCGCGCCCGGCGGCTTCGTGCACTCGGCGGCGGCCGCGGCGGCGGCGGCGGCGGCCAGCTCCCCGGTCTACGTGCCCACCACGCGCGTGGGCTCCATGCTGCCCGGCCTGCCCTACCTGCAGGGCGCGGGCGGCGGGCCCGCCAACCACCCGGGCGGCGCGGGCGCGCACCCCGGGTGGCCGCCGCAGGCCTCGGCCGACAGCCCCCCGTACGGCGGCGGCGGCGCGGGCGGCGCGGCGGGCGGCGGGGCCGCGGGGCCCGGCGGCGCCGGCTCGGTCTCGGCGCGCTTCGCCTACTCGGCCAGCCCGCCCATGGCCAACGGCGCGGCGGCGCGGGACCCCGGGGGCTACGCGGCGGCCGGCGGCGGCGCGGGCGCGGGCGGCGTGGGCGGCGGCGGCGGCGGCCTGGCGGCCATGGGCGGCCGGGAGCACCAGTACGGCTCGCTGTCGCGGTCGCTGAACGGGACGTACCACCACCATCACCACCACCACCACCCGAGCCCCTACTCGCCCTACGTGGGGGCGCCGCTGACCTCCGCCTGGACCGCCGGCCACTTCGAGGCGCCGGTGCTGCACAGCCTGCAGGGCCGCGCCGGAGGCCCGCTCCCCGTGCCGCGGGGCCCCAGCGCAGGTAAGGGTAGCGCGCCTGGGCCTGGGGGTTGGGGGACCCAGGGCACTGACTGGGGTGAAGAGAGCTACTTAACTGTGTTTGGGGTTCCTGGGAGTATGTGTGTGAGGGGGAGGGGCAAAGGTCAGCCCGCAGTTGGATTGATGCGGTGCTTCTGTGTTTCGGATTGTGTCTTGGGTCCTTTCCACGAAAAGAGACAAAATGCGCTTGGACAGTATATATATACACATATGTATGTATGTATATATGTCTATATATATATCTATATATGTGTGTATATATGTATATGTATATATATACCTAGGTGCCTGGAGAAGCTCCAGGAACTTGATGAGTAGTGAATGGGATGGGTACTAGGAAGGAATCAGCCCGGGAGGGAACTGGCAGGGGGGAGGGAACTGGCAGGGCCTGAGCCCCTTGGGAGACTAGTTTTGTTCGAGTGGAAGAATGAGAGACTCCCTTTGGGGGTAAAATTAGGAGAATGCTGGACACTGGATTCATCCTGTCCTCAAATATGCGGTGAGGAGCTCTGCTTTCCCCAAGGGGACTGTTTAAAAGGGCTCCAGGTGGGCCAGGACCTAAGGACACCCACACTTCCACCCCGAGAGGAAAGAAGACAGGACACATGGGCTGGTCAGCCTTGTGACTAGACTGTCCCGAGGGAAAGCTGGTGGCGGACGCTTTGGCTTGTCCTCAGGCCCAGGCCGATGTCTGGGGCTCCCATATGTTTTTCCTCTCGAGGTCAGCCCACCCATTTTTCAGTTTCCAATCCCACTTATACTGTCATGGCAGTGGCTGGGGCCATTTTTTCAGTGGACTGGGGGAAAAAAACAAAACACAAGTGCCAGAATACCTGGAAAGAGCCCATTTTGAAGTGTTTTGTTCCCTGACGCAGGGGAGGGTGTGAACTGCTGCGCCTGGCCTGCTTAGGTTAGCTTCAGCATTCTGGTGCTTTCACAGGTCCCTCTCACTTTATATCTAACCCACCCGATAGCCTGACAGACTCCTAACACAAAACTTAGTTTGTTTGAAGGCGGATCTGTGGGAGTCAGAGGAGACGGGTGAGCTTAAACCATTCTACCTGGTGCTTTCACTCCCCAGGTCTGAGCCCCTCAGCTTTCCATTAAGGGACAGGAAGTTTTCTAGGGGTCCTGTTAGGATCAAGGAGACATTGCCAACCTCTGTTCAAAAGACATGCTGGAGACTCTAGTGGCCTGCACGCCAAGGTTCTCTTCCTCCACTGGCCTCTTAAGACTTCAGTCTCAAAATTCCCTCTTCTTCCCCTGTGAGATGGGCTCTGGAGACCATCATCACTGGGTGGGGTGAAGGCCCCTGCAGGTTTGCTCTTTTGAGTAGAGACTTCAGAGTACAGCACTGCCGGCCTTCCAGCTGCATAGGGCCCTGGATCTCCAGAGGAGAGAGAGGGGAGAGGAGGGTTCTTCAAAGGATGGGAAGGGGATGGCTGTGGGTGTGAGGGTTTTGTGGGTGGGTGGGGGGGTGCAGCTGCAGTTGGCGCAAGGTCGTGTGGCTCTGCCTGTCCTATGACACATCTTCGTGTGATCTCCATGTTCCTTTCCCCTCATCTCCCAGTGTTTCACAGGACCGAGAAAGAGAAGTAGTCCCAAAGACAGAACTGGAGTGTTTAAAGTAACTGGTTCTGTGTGGAAAATCCTTTTAGGGGCAACAAGGTACGATTGCAGGAGAATTAGTATTTTTTTCCTCTCTTATTTTTTTATTTTTATTTTTTCATTTTAAACTTAGCCTATCCTGCTTTGGCTGGGTAATTTTGCAGATAGAAACAATTAGACCCCTTTGTGACAAGTTTTTGGGTTCGGTCAAGGCATATACAAGAAAGCAGCCAGTGAATGCATCAATAAGTGGAACAACAAGTCCATGTTTCTCTCTCTCTCTTAAAAAAAAAAAATCAGCAAACTTAGCCTATCCTTTCACTAATATTTTTACTTTCTGGAAAGGACACTGCAAAATTAGAAAAATGTTCTGTAGACACAAAGTATTTTAAAAAACCAAACAACTAAAAATGGGTGTTTGGGAACACTCAGGCTTTTGCATGCAGTCTGTTAAGAAGGTGGAGGACTTCTGAGCAAGAATAAGCCAGTTGGAAGTGGCAGAGGCCAATAACGCCAACTTTGCTTGTCCTCACAGGTGTTCTCTTGCTAGAGAGACCTGGACCTCCCAGCTCCTCTCCTCCCAGCTAAATTCCCCACTTCTCCACTTTATTATTATTTTTTTTAACAAACCATTTCTGGAGGCACTCTTTAATTGACTGGGGGCAAACAGGAGGGCTAAAACCTGAGTGCTGAGCTCTCGCAACCTGCCCAGGGGAGGTTTCTGAGAACCTGCTCCATACTTCTCTCCCTGGCTCTGGTAGTGAGTGAGTGGGTTGTGCTCATGGCTCTTCAGTCCCCAAGCCCAGTCCTCTCGTAAACTCCAGATAACTGTTCCGTTCTTCCTTCCGTTCTGGGACTACACTTGGTGACGGAACCCTTCTCCCCTGTGTCTGCATTCTCCAGGGACTCTCAAGGCAGCCATGTTAGGAGAGACAATGATGTGTAGGGAGAAATTGATGAAGGGGCTTCCAGCGCCGTCAGAATTTAAATTTTTTTATTTAAAAACATTTTTCTTACTTTAATCAGTTACAGGATTGTAGCTGCTGGGTGAGGAGTGAGGAGAGGTCAGGATAAATGGGAGCTCGAGATTTTACTCACCTAAAAAGAAGCAAACTTACTAATATTTGTTTAAGTCCACAGTGATCTTTAAGTTTTGTCTTTGGGTCTTCAGAGGACTAAAAAGGTTTACCTGGAGCAGTTCCCACTGTCTTCTCCTTATTGTCCCCATCTTTGGGAGGCAGCCAGGCACAGGGCTGGGTTCTCCAGGGAATGCCCCACTCCTCTATTGAGGGCGGCTCTGATAGGTAACATTTTAAAGTCAACAACAAAGACAAATACCTTGTTTAACTTCAGTGTCCTTGAAGTCCTGAGCATTTTACTGATTGCCGTAGTCAATGGTGGCTTTTAGGGCAGCGAAGAATAAATCTTTGTGATGTGTTGTAAGTTGCAGTATCCCCATGACAACTTTGAACTCAGGTTATGCAGGATGCTAGTTTCTTTTAAACTTGTTTCTTGAGGAAGGGGACCTACTTGTTTTGTAGGGTAAATAGATTTAGTGGAATCAAGTATTTTATGCCAAAGACACACGTAAATATCTTCATAACAAATAGTTAATCGTAGAAAGAATGGTAAACTGCACAGGAATGGGGAGGGATAGAAAGGCTCAATATGTATGCATGCATATAAACATAACCAGTGGATACAAGACACAGGGGAGGAGGGGGGCAGGTGAAGGCATATGGGGGGGTAGGGGAGACTAGGGGAGATTAAAAGGGGGGAGAAAGACATATGTACTACTATTTGTAATCTTTCAAACAATAAAAAATAATACTAATAAAAAAAGAAAGGCTCAATAGCTCACCTAGTCTTCAAGTAAAACTCTAAAGTGTAATGTTTATTTACTTTAAAAATTGGTTCAGAAATGATCCTTAAAGAAAGCCAAGTTGGAACATTTGAACCCTCTAGAATATTAATAACACTAAACTAGCAGTACTTATGGCTTTAAAAAATCTATTTAATAAAAAGTACTTATTTAATTAATAAGTACTTATCTCATTTTAGATAATATTTCTTCATTCATATTTAACCAGTTTAGGGTAAGTAATAAATGTTGCAACCATTTATTCTTAAGATTGTTTTAGATAGCAGTTTTAAGTTAGTTACTCTGAAAACTAACCACGTAGGAATTACATAAACACAATTTAGAAAGATTGCATAAGTTGACACTTCAGTGTAGGAAAAGAGGAAACAATTTTATTTAGCACTGGGATGGTCTTTGTGATTTTTCTGAATCAATAAAATAGCAACCGTTTGTAGAAATTTTGCAGGTAGAAACAATTAGACCCATTTTAAAATCTGAATATTTTACTATTTGGTCCTTATGGCATGAAAACAAAATTTAACACTTACCTCTGCTTATTAATGCTAGTGTATTTTCCCCCTGGGGAGATCGGAATCATTTTCTAATTAAGTGGTGTAAGTGCTGGAGAACAGTATTTCTAAATTCACTATAGTCTTTTTTTAAAATTATTATTGGGGAAAAGAAAGAGGAGCAGATACAGGAAATACTTTTTAACGGAATCATTTTCTAATTAAATGGTATAAGTGCTCGAGAACAGTATTTCTAATTTCACTAGTCTTTATTATTATTATTATTGGGGAAAAGAAAGAGGAGCAGATACAGGAAATACTTTTCAAAAGAAAAAAGGAAGATGAAAGAAGTACGACAGCCTCCTCCGTGTCCAGCCTGAGGACTGGAGCAGGGGCCAGCGGTCCAATCGTGCCCAGGTCCCATGCTTGGCTCGGGTTTGGCAAGTGGCACACTGTAATTATGATGGATTTCAGTTTTGAAAAGCTTGTGAACAGCCGGAAAGAAGGGGTCAGGGGACCCAAATCCATCTCCCCACAGCTCATCTCCACCCTGAGGTCCTTGGTGGTGGATGGCAGATGACTCGGGATGGGCTTCCAGTACCGTCTCCTATTTTCCTAGGGTTTTATGGGCGCGCCCAGGGTGCAGAGAGTAGGAAGCAGGTCGGTGGGACATCACCGGCCTCAGGGGCTTTGGCTATTACTGAGCAGAAAGGTCCGGGAGGAGGGCGAGGGCGGGGAAGCAGGCTGGGTGTCTTCAGCACCAGCGCCGTGGGGAGCCGGGGAGGAGGGGGCATTTTCGGGGAGCCTTCTGCACGCGGTCTCACCGCCTTTGGTCCCCCGCTCTCCCCGGTCTCACCGCCTTTGGTCCTGCTCTCCCCGCAGACCTGCTGGAGGACCTGCCCGAGAGTCGCGAGTGCGTGAACTGCGGCTCCATCCAGACGCCGCTGTGGCGGCGGGACGGCACCGGCCACTACCTGTGCAACGCCTGCGGCCTCTACAGCAAGATGAACGGCCTCAGCCGGCCCCTCATCAAGCCGCAGAAGCGCGTGGTGAGTGCAGCGCCGCCCCGTCCCCGCGCCGGGCAGGTGCCCGGAGGCCCGTCCCCGCCTGGTCCCAGCGCGGGGCTCCAACGTGTACCCTGCCTTCCCCGTCTGCTAGCGCGGGGCTGGGCTGCTGGAATGCAAACAGCCTCCCCCCCCCCCCCCCATGTTTAACACAGGGAATGGCATCTTAGGTGAAAGAAAGTAGGGTACTATCACTTTTTAAAGCACAAACATGTATGGTTACCTATCTCTTCATGTGTTTGGGAATGCACCAGAAATAATTTTGGGAGGAAACACAAAAAATTTGTGATGGCAGTAACCCAGGGAGAGAATGGCCCAGGATTGTGACCCAGGGCAGGTGAAGAAAGGAGTTTTTTTTTTTTTTTTTTTTCCTTTTTTCTTTCTTTTTTTTCTTTCTTTTTTTTCTTTCTCTCTCTATTCGTTCTCTGATCTGGTTTGGATTTTATTCTTGAAAAAAAACCATGCTCCTTTACAGTATCTTTCTTCCCCTCCCCCCATCCTCCATCCCCTACCCACACCAGAACATGACAACAGTCCCCACACTCCCCTTCTCCCTACTGCCTCATGCTCGGTTTCTTTGCTTTTATCCCTTCTACCTCAGGGTCCTTTTCAGCTCTTCCCCTAATGAGACAGGGTTTAGCCACAAATTCCACTCGTCTTTTGGATTGCCCTTGAGTCTGGTGAAAATTTACTTACCCTAACCTTTGTTATTTTGAAATCTGGCTGTTCAGATAACTACACAGAACTTGAGAAACATGCAGTCTGTGTGTTCTTCTCGGAGTTGAGTATTTTCACCAATCTGAATATGTTTTACTGTGTTTTAATATATGGGAATTTTGATTTTCTTCAGGGATCAATCTCTTGTCATATTTTGTGTGTGTGTGTGTGTGTGTGTGTGTGTGTTTTAGGAGAAGGTATTTACCACTGTGGTGATTAGAAAAAAAATAAAGCTTTCACAAGCCCCACTGTAAGGCTAACATTTGTTTAGCCAAGCACCCATACTCCTAATACCTTTCAAAGTAAAATACTTTACAGTTAGATGCCAGACATCTTAAGTATCCAAGTAATTTATTTAATTGTTATACTCTAATTAGCAGGGACAAATGCTACACACGCTGTTTGTGTTAAACAGATTAGAGTGAAATTGCATCACAATGTAAGTCTGACACCTTAAAGAGAAGCAATTAGTTTTATGGTTGTTTTGTTTTTAATGCATTTAAAATAAAGTGGCCAAGGTTAATTTAATGAGTGTATGCGCCTTAAACTTGTTACAAACTCCCACAGCTTAAGTTCTTCAAAGGCCATCCGTAACTTCAGTGTCTGACTCCCTACGGTTTTCATTTTTCCTGCATGCGTGATATTAAGGAAAAAAGTAATGGCTAGAAAATATTCCAAGGAAGTTCTTTGTTTTCATGTGTTAACCTATATATTACTATGAAACTGATTATTTAATTTTTTTTTTTTGGAAAGGAACATTGAGCTGAAAAATAGCTGAGCTCAGAAAAGTAACATTTTCACCAGATGGAGCAAAAAACAAACAAACAAACAAAAAACCAAAACAAAATGAAAACAAAACACACACACACAAACAACTAGTATAATAGTTGTTTTGGTTCTAGTTGCCTTATAAATTTAATCTAGTATCATTCATATTTAGATTGTGCCATGTATTTTGTGCTTTTACAAGTAAAAATAACCAGAAAAAAAGTTTTTAACATCTCTGAACCAATTAGTTTCCCTGCTATGTGGCAACTGTGTTGGCAGTAACCAAGGTCAGCCAATACGCTCTATAAATGGGTTATAAATGACTCTGGATTGAAGGGTGTGTCTATCAATTAGTTCTCCTTGTGGGCTTCTTATTTATGGTTTTGATGGGCCTACCTCAGTTATCAGAGGTAGAATGTTCAACCCAAGTTTGTTTAGCCAGCAGTTACAGAACCAATCACTGAATTTGAACTTGTATTATATTGCAAAATAAGATTTATGGTTAACTTGAATTCCTTGTCAATGATGAACATAACTTTTATACAAGGAACTTTTATAACCCACTCACCTTCATTTCACATGTTTATGAGGACTGGCTTCTCTCATGATCTGCAGTTGACAGTCATAAAGTTCTTTGTTATAATGGCAAATTCTGATAACAAGTTTGCTTCACATTGGCTCAAATTCCACTGGAAACTGTCATAAATGACCTGTTTATAAAAGGGACCTTTCTGTCCCTAGTTTTCTGACCGCGCATTTATGAAATTGTTATCTTTGGACCTGAAAGAAAGAAACCCTAATGTGTAAGGTTTTATATGTCTTCATCATTTTAGCAAAGCAATTTCTCAAATAGTTCTTCTGTCAGCCAAACTAAGCATATTGATTATAACCAAAAGTCAAATTGATTTTTTTCTTAGCACTGACTTCTTAAAATGTTGTAGTGCTAAGAGGCTTACCAGTGTCCCTTTGTTTTTATAACTTGTCTGTAAAGAGTAATGCTTAAAGTAATACAACAGGATGTGAATTGTAAATGAGAAATTCACTTGTATCTTTTAAATTTGCCACCAAAGGATTTGGAAATCTCTGTCCTTTTTAATCTGAGTTTTCAATACATACTCAATTTTTCCCTTTTTTTGTGCACTTTCCTTTATAACTTCTTTTTTTTAAATTATTAATTAGTATAGCTCACGTACTCTGTGACCTTCAATTTGCTTTGTTTCCTGTATTTTTCCTATAGCTTTTTTTTTCTTCAGAATTCATGACACCATTTTTTAATTGCCCTATCTAGGTTATTTAAAAACAAATTTAGATTTTTTGCCATTCTAGAGAGGAACTTTATACTGGGTTAAATTCTCATTCTCTATAATCCGCACTTAATGTAGGGGAAATAAATTTCCTTTAAAGATGTTATGAGTATAAAGGGAACGTGGGAACCAGAATGACTAACGTAGGGTTGACTTCTGATAATAACATTTAACCCTTTGTGTGAACAAAATTTCATTATTATACTTGCAGGGCAAATAACATATATTAGTATCATTGTATTGAAGGCAATGCTGGCATTAGAACAATGCCATAAAATTTGTTTATCTTTTGCAAAAATGAAAAATTCAGGCAGCATTTGCTCATGATAATTATGGAATCTATTAAAAATATACTTCTTTACAAATATTTTATACATTTTCCAAAATCCTTTTCTGTTACTAGGTAGGTTCTTCCAAAGTTTCTGATTTGTTCCTCTGCACAAATCTTGGAAAGATGAGCTGATAATCTTCAGTTTTCATGTGAAGTGTAGACGGCTCAAAGAAAGCCCCTTAACATATTGGCAGGCAGTTACGGTTGCATTTCAGAATCCTTATATCAGACCTCTGACTACCGTAGGTGCAGTTATTGGCCAGCGTTATGTCCATGTTTTGGTTATTCTGTAATCTACACTAATATTACGGAAAAATATCAAATGTATGTGTGGGATCGAGCACACTGTAAAACTTAAGTTTCTTGGTCCAGGAAGGTCAGTCTAATTACATTTAAGTTTTTTTTTTTTTCTCAAGGGACCTCTTATTTTTAATAACCAGGTTCATGTTTGTTGATGACAAGGACACGATACATTGACATATACATAAAAATCACTTACAACTGTACGCTTATTTTCTTGTGCTTTCTCTAGCCTTCTTCCCGGCGGCTTGGCTTGTCCTGTGCCAACTGTCACACCACAACCACCACTTTGTGGCGCAGAAATGCCGAGGGCGAACCTGTGTGCAATGCTTGTGGACTCTACATGAAACTCCATGGGGTGCGCCATGTATTCTGCTCTTATGTATATGTGTTTAGTATGGTTTGTACAGATGCATATGTGTTTAGTATCGTTTGTACATGATTTCAGTTAAGAAAAAAAGTCAGCAAAGAAGAAGAGGGTGAAAGTGAAAATTTGATTGTCTATATGCATGCTAATGATGACATGTTAAACTATTATCTTAAATAGCAGTAAGAAACAAAAAATGCTGTCAATTAAACTGCCACACATTTGTTGTTAGGCATTGCAATATTAGGAATACTGAAACGTGAAAAATGTATATTTTAGAATTGATAAAATGGTAGTAACCCTTTAAAAAAAAAAACTGCAAAAAAGAAAAACATGGAATTAACCAGAAATGCATAACTAGTTTACATTAACTTAATTCTTGAATGCAATAAAATATATTTATATAAAGGAATAATCTACATATTTGAAAGTTAGAGTTAGAAAGATTCTGTAGTTCATTTTAAGGACACCACAAAATATTGTAAATATATCTCTTAAAAAGGAAAATAACCTTCTATATGTAGAAGGAAGAGAATACATGAGTTATGTGGAATGAAAATTTTCAGTGGTTTTACTCTGAAATTGAAGTTGTTTAAAACAGTAAACATGAATTGAAGGAATAATACCTTGGCAAATCACCTCATGTCCCCTGCAGGAATCTGCATTTGACGGGTCTTGTGCAGTTGTAATCTATTGGGGGGAAAATATAAATGGTATTGAAATTTATGCCAAATTCTTTTAAATGAGGGCCTTCAGGGCTGACTGTTGGTTCTTTGGCTGAAGCTTGGGTTTTCTTCACTATACTGTTAACTGTATGGCCCATGTGAAAATTTTTTTAGGTGCCCCGACCGCTTGCTATGAAAAAAGAGGGAATTCAAACCAGGAAACGAAAACCCAAGAACATAAATAAGTCAAAGGCTTGCTCTGGTAAATATTAATAAAGTGCTATTTGATTGTTATGTTACGTATTTGCTAACCTTAACAGTAAAATATACGTATATTTATGAGGTTAATTTTGATTGTTGCAGGCAATAGTAATAATTCCGTTCCTATGACTCCATCTTCCACCTCTTCTAACTCAGATGATTGCAGCAAAAATACTTCCCCTACAACACAACCAACAGCCTCAGGGGTAAGTGTTAAAATAGTATAGACTATTCTAAACTAGTGTGTAGCAGCTCTCCAGTGTATTATCTCAAATTTTATCTGATAGTACAATAGTCTAAACCAACAGTTCAGTTTAGTTAGTTGATACCTAAGCATAGTTTATAGAGGAAATTACATTTAAATGTCAACAAAATGACCAACATAAGTACTTTGCAAACCTCTTAATTAAGATCTATATCATATTTTTATGGCTAAATTAAACCAAGTAAAAGCTAGAAGTTTTGGTTTGAAGTCCTTTAGTTGTTTTATTTCCAGTTTTATCTGAGTTTATGTATTTCTAATGTAGATTAAAAAAAATCTGTTTCGTATACCCAGAGCCGGTGGCATTTAAATTGCTTTTGCTTATCATATCAGCTCTTGCTTTCAATTTTCTTTTCTCAAACCCTTCCCTTTGCTTTCCCTCCCTCCTTTCATTTCTTCCTTTCTTCCTATCTACCCAAAACATAGCTCATCATAATGTGTCAGAGGCTGCTGTAGTCACTGATCTTTCTTCACCCTATTGTCCTCTTGCTGGGAGGCCTGCCTTCTTTCTATGCACCTTAATCGCACCCAGGCTTCTTCCATTCAACCTCGCTATAAACCTGTGAGCAATTTGGTTTGTGAGTGAGGGTCTTTGTCAAGATTACACAAGAGTTTGTTTCTGTAAAGCTGTGATTGAAACTCATTTTTTTTTTTTTTTTTTTTTTTTTTTTGCTCAACTGAAGAGCATTTTTGGAATTTCCTAAATTTATCTGGAATGCTATTTATTTATTTATTTATTTATTTATTTATTTATGGAATGCTCTTTAAAAATGACGGGGGTCTCACCAATTGGAATCCAGGGTGGGCTTAGGCAGTAGGTTCCAGGTGATGGTAGGATTATCCTGAGACTAAGATGACACACCAGCATTAAAATCTCGACACAATGAATCTTACCCTTTTAGGGTACATTGAAATACTACAGATCCCTGGGCCCCACCCCCAAAATTTTCTGGCGTGGGGCTTGGGAATGCATGTTTTTGAACAAGCACCTCAGGTGGAACCAAAGCCCTCGAGGTGTCTTCCCATCAAGGTTTGGGAACCGGGGAGCTGGTTTGTTTCATGGTATGTTTACAGGCTTAAAACAAAAGAAAATCAAACATTTAAAACAAGTTTAAACTGTGCTTAAAATTATATTATTTCTCTTTGTCCTCTGACCCAAATTAATTTGGCTTTTTTTTTTTTTTTTTTTAAATGAAACAAGAAATTCAATTTGAGATTCACGAGGGAAAAAGCTTTTCATTTCTTTTTGTTTGTTGTATACAGGTTAAAGGATGTTTCTAGCCTTGACCAAGGTGGACTCTAGTGTATCATGTTTTTACAGAAGGGCTACATGGAGTAATTTTAAAAGATCTAATGTAGTAAGTAGAGCAGTTCCTTGTAGGGAAATAAAAAGGTTGCCATTATTTAAAAACATTTTTTATTATGCCTTAAGTCCTTAAAAGCAATTATGTGGCTAAATGAGGCAAAACAACGTTCTGGTTTTCCAAGGCGTTCTGGGAGCAGCCAGGCTTTTTTGGCCGCGGTCTTTCTTAGCAGAAAGGAGGATTGCTGCCAGCTCCACGTCATTTGGTGACACAGTCCAGCTTAAACTTGGCAAAGGCCAGATTTGAATGAAAAATGGCAAAGAAGTAGGTATTTGCCAACAATGGGCTTTGGGGACTTGAACCCTAGTGGGTGGAATCCATATTTTGCTCCTGTGGTTTTGTGATGTGAAATTTCAGAATTGGCTGTGTGCAAGTCCAATCATTTGCCCTCCCAGGGGAGGAAAGGCAGTGACTGGCTCTGGCGTGTCTGCAAGAGGAACCTTGGGAGTTCTGCTTTGGTGTCCCAGCACCTGTCACCTGGGACCCAGCACCCCAGAGGTGGCTTGCCAGCCAGTGCCCTTCGGATGAACACTTAGTTCCCTCCTAGAGGCCAGGAGGCAAGGCAACAGGACTTTAGAGACAAGGATTTGTGAGCCGTGTCATCCATCCCGTAGTGTGATCAGCCGTAGAGACCGGCTGTACAGTATGATCTGCAGTTGGCCTCAGAAATGCTTTGGGGCAGCTTTCCTGGTGTGTGTGTGTGCGTGCGCGCGGTGGATTGACCGCCATCTCCTCCCTTCACCTCAGGGACCCACTCCTGGCCTGGCTCCCCTGGCACTCGACTGTCACCTGGGTTGTGGGTTTTTTTTCTATGGACGGGGTCTCACCCTAGATACCTTTTGTGGGGAACGAGGCCTGCTTGGCAGAAGCCAATTTGCTTGCTGTCTTTGGAAACTGTGTTGCTCTATGAATAATTGTAAACTCCGGTGGTCTCCCAGATTACCACCGAGGAGTGCCAGTGTGTGCCCGTTGGTCCCTTAGCACCTTTCAGAGCCTTCTGGGTGTGCGTGGCCAGTGTGGCAGCAGGGGAGCTGTAAAGAGCATGCCAGAGGAGTTAAATCTGTGAGCTGCTGGCAGAAGCATTTGTGAAAGGGGTTGTACTGACAAAGATGTATCCCCCCCCCCCCCCGTTTTGATCATGGTTGATGATGTTGGAGGGCGGTCGGTGTTGGTACTGACCACTTATAAGATTTTGTGAAGGACGGTATGTAAGGAAAACGTTATATTCACATGGCAAGGTCGGATCTGGTACGTAGTACATGGCATCTTCATTGGCTCAGCGTTTAATCTTCCTATGAGGATGGATACAGCCCGTTGATCTCCAGTGGCCCCTTGGGCGGAAATTAGGGTTATCCTTCCTTAATAGGGACAACGGAGCTACAAAACAAAGGACCTTAGGCACACTCCTAGTGGAACTGGGGTCACCTGTTTTCCCACTGAGATGTCAATGGCAGCATAACCGCTCCACCTTTCCTTAACGAGGGGGAGTTACAGCATAGATGTCAGGCGTTGCAGCGGTCTTAATCAAAGCTGCTGGTTATTTTCATTCCCCCTGAGAAATCACTCTAGATCATCAGCAGACATTCCCAGCAGGCTTCTGTTCAGTCCTGGTGCCCCTGCATGTGGGCATGTGGGGGCACCAGGTCACGAGCAGGGCCTGGTTTTGAACTACTAACCGGGCAGGGGCTGAGGATTCTGGAGGAGGTGCTCCTAGTTAGTCTGCTGCTAAGAGAGGAGGCTCCAGGGCTCCCTCCCCAGCAGAGGGAAGGTGTGGGCAGGCTCCGTGAGCACATCACTTGGCACTCTTCCAGGACCAGTGTCAGGAAAATAATTTTTGTGCTGCTCTGAAGCCTCATTTCTTTGACTCTTAGCTTAAGTGCTTGTTGCTACTTTGTGTTTTAACTAGACCCCTGCCGGAGGAAAATGGAGACATCATTCCTTCTGATGATCTTCAGGTCAATGAAGGCTGCCTTATGATTCAGTTTCTCTTTGGTGCAGGCTGTGGGTGCAGTGGTGTGTGTGTGTGTGTGTGTGTGTGTGTGTGTGTGGTGGAGGTAGAGAGTAGTTTGTTCTGTGTGAGATTGGGAAGAACTGCTTTCATGCAGCCCAGGATTAAAATTGTATCTGTCTTGTTGCTTTGGAATCTTTGTTTGCTAATAATGTATTAAACTTAATTTTTGAGACAGTTGATTAAATTTTGTGACTTTTAAACTTAAAGATAAATTTCCCCCAAATACTCTTTCATTTTGTCTAAAATTGTCTTAATACATGTAGTTTTACTAAAAAAAAAATGTGTGTTCAGTTGGCATTTATGTTCTGGATTATAAGAATATTTAAATCTTTCATTGATTTCAATTTATTGACTGAGTTATGTTTTATAAGTTTTTTTTATTCTGATTATTTAGAAGGGAGATAGAGTAACATGTTCTATTTCAACAATTCTCAAATAAGATCTAACAGTTTATAAATATTACTATCCTTCCTATGACTTGTAACTAAAATCTATAAAATTATAAGATATTTTATATATACAAGGGTGGGCAAATATAAAAGTTTATAGTTGTAAGTATGTGAAACAATTTATTTTTATATTATTTATTTGTGTTATGTAAACCTACCTTTGCTCACCCCTGTATAGTTCGTCTCCGTGTATTTCGACATTATATGTTTAGTGATGACTTCAGTACTATATCTGCAGTTTTAATACAAATGAAGTAGGCTTTAATTTTTAATAATTCTTTATAGAATTTGCTTTTAGACAGGCAAAATATGTATGTGTATGTAATATATAAACTTAATCATATATATATGTTAATCCCCAAGTTTTTGTAAGTAAAAGGTATTCCTTAAATTTTCTTTGGGATGGAAAAGATTAATTTGGGAGTGAAATAAGCGATAAGACTTCATGTCTGAGAAAAAGAAATCACTGAACATACAGGATGTGGCAAAAGTAGGTTTTCAGTGGTGAGTAAGTGAAACATTTTATTCTTGTATTTTTAATTATTGCATTGTTTTCCTTATGAACAGCTGTGGTTCTACTCTTGCCTCACCCTTTCTTCAAGTCCTTGCTTTACAGTTCCATTTACGGAGCATTGTGCTGTGGGAGGCCCTGTTTGTAATAGAGTAAAACTAGGCCCCTGATCTTAAACTGCTCCGAAGGCGGTGGTAGTGGTGGGGGCAGGCATAGACAGGCCTTACCGCTGGTTAGATTGGAGGGTCTGTTGAAGGAGCCGCAGAGTAAGGTGGTTGATAGAAGGAGCGAGTGCTGAATTCTGACAGCAGAGTTGGAGATGGCTCCACAGCCTAGAGGAAGTTCCAATTAGTTGGGTAGGATTTTTGTGGGGGAAACAACGGGATAAGAGTCTCCAGGAAGAAGAGGAGCATGGGTATCCGTGATACTTCAGGGATCCTTTTGGGAGCTCAGTGTGGCCGGAGTGCAGGGTGTCTCCAAACGCAGGAGATGAGGCTGGTTAAATAGGTGGGAGGTGGATCTTTGGAAGGGTTTCCAATTACTATCAAGTCGGCCATAAGAAGATCCCAGACCACATTCATTTCTAAGGGATGGACTTGCTCTTGAGCC